ATCTTTTAACTAAAAAAGTAGGGGGTCATCTTATACGTCCAGTAGCCTTATACGCCGGAAAATACGGTATGTAGTATATATTCCCAGACACGTTATAAAGAGAAGGGATGCAGTTTTCATTTGGCCTAACAAAGGATGATAACCCGGGGACTGCCTGTACATACACTCCAGTTTGATCTGTAACCCACATCAATTTTCAGTCAGTTTCTTCAAGGAAAACTAAATCAATCTGATATTCAGAAGTGTAGCAAGAGAGATGTTCCAAGAATTTTAAGACACAGGAACAGTTAAAATTATGGGATTTTAAAATATACAGTGATTGTTTTTCCTTGCTAGTGAAAACAATTTCCAGATTGATAATATAAATTGTATACTTATACACTCATTAGAATGTAATCCAAATTTGATTTCTGATATGGTAATATTTGTTTCTTTGACTGATTTTAATTTTGGCTTTGAGTGTGATTCTGTTATGTTATTAATTTGTTCTATGAACTTCCAAAGGCCTTCTTGAAATATTTGATGATTTAGAAAGCAACTAAAATGAAAAGGTACCTTTGAAACAAGGTCTTTCAACTTTATGTAGTGAGCATTTCAAAGAGAGCCTACTGATATGATGCAGGGTTTAAAATCTCATAGTTTGAAGTTCAGAGTGCTATGGTTATGTCCATCAGAGTGATAGTTTCCAGACTTTTATAACTAAAATTACAAGAATCAGTGCCATCTTCATTCTCATAATTTATCCTGATGTACACTACAATAAATACTGCAATACAAAGAGTGCTTGGCTAAGAACTTTTTGAGGTTTGGAATTAACTCCCTGGTGGGTTTTTTTCTTACACTCTATTTATTTGTTAAGTGTTGTATATGGAAGACTTGGATTATTGTTGTTCTAATATCACTTACAAAGTTCCCTTTGGTTGATTTTATTTTTTAGAAACATTCCATGTTAGGGTTGAGATGACTATGATTTCTAGCAGCTTGAAACAATATTTAGAAGTTACAGGGGAAGAAGGTGATGATTACAAGCAGTCTGAAACTGATCAACCACAAATTAGGTAATTTAGGATAATAGTTCATTATTGAAAAAATGAAGGAAACATTCTCTGTTAAACTTAGTTATGTATTTTAATACTGTGCCCAGGGACAAGTGCTTTTTTCTTGCATAATGTTGCCTTTTGCAGGGTCTGGCCTTGATCTACTCTCTGTCAACAGTGTTTTGATTATACTTCCTTTCTCCTTTTTTGCAATGATTTTTAGAGTTGAAATAAATTGTGATATGTAAAAAAAAACAAAAAACAAAAAAAGGTTGATTTTTAATATGTGTGAGTAGTAATTGTTCAAGTATGATAAACGCTGACAAATTTCCCCCAATGGTTAGAGCCCGGCATGGATACCAAATTTCTGTCCACACCTACATACATGAAAATGAGCTGCAGAAATCCACATCCACAACTGCAGATACCCATGGATATAAAGCCAATATCTGCAGATTTGCAGGGCTATACAAATGGTTGAATAAAACAAAATCTCTTTTTAAAATTTGAAAAATTGTCACCTGCTTCCTAAAGAGCTGTATTCTGGGGAGATATCCATGCTGAAATTAGGAGGTATGATTGCTGAACAGGTATGTGTTCCACGACTGGCTTTGGTGAAATTAGCTTGCTTAAAATAGCAGCGTAACTTCAGTGGCATGGGCGGTGTTATCCAACCAGGGTACAGACCAATGATTTTGGATGGGATTGTAACATTGCTGCAGTCAATGCCACCACTGAGATACTTCTAATTTTAGCAATTATAAACCTATATGTGCGGCAGTCATACCTCCAATTGCAGTGTAGCTGCAGGCGAAACGAGATGCAAATGCGGTAACACCTCAAGTGAGGTTAATCTTGTACCTTTCAGTCTGAGTTGAGACCATGAATCTTAGGACATCACACAATATTTCCATGTTAACTATTCAAACCCAAAAGAATAGCACAATTTACATAATACTTGGATGCCCATTAAAATGTTTAGGTTCATGTATTTTGGGCAAAATTTTCAGAAGCATTTTGTGACATAGGCTCTCTGAATCACTGGACTAAACGTTGATGATTCCCTGATGCTCAGTGATCATGCGGTGGCTACATTTGATATGAGAAAACAGAATCCTAACCAGTAAACCATATCCAAAAATATTTCTCATCTGTATTTTGAAAGAAGCAGGAAGATACTTGAAATTACATCAGAATGAAGAAGTTATTTCTGGACTATTAGTGAACAAGGATGTTAAACATATTCTAGAGAGGAACATTTTTATAATCACCAGGCACAGACAGCTTGCACCCAAAAGTTCTAAAAGAGTTTGCCGATTGATTTTAATGTCTAATAAATCTTGGAGTAATGAATAATTCTGGAAGATGGCTGTGTCAATACTCAAAAAGAAGGAGGAGGATGACTGGGTAAGTTAATCTGGCATCAGTACTATATAAAGTGATGAAAAAGAAAATATGGGATTCAATTCATAATGAGTCAAAGGATAAGAAAACAATTTAATGCCATTCAACACAGTTTTATGGAAAGTAGATTTTGTTCTTTGAAATTACAAGTTTGGTTCATGACAGTAACTGTGTAATATAACTTAGTTCTTCTCCACATGAGGAAGAGACTATGCAAGAAACTAGGGTTTAAATTTGTGATGCGTTAGCAACTTGGCCCTAACTCTCCTCTTGACAGTCTAACTAAGTATTAATGTGGCTCTTGGGTGGTTTAACTTAGTAAACACTAAAAAGTATTTATCTAAAGTGCATAGTTACAGGTGGTGCACAAAATATTTCTCTTCTGTCCACTCAGGGGGCAAGTGTGGAGAGTTACTGCATTGTAAATGCATAGCTGAGTTTCCTGCAAACTTATTTACATGTGTAGACCAGTCCTAAGACCTTTGTAAGGCATTTGACAAATTATCACGACATTCTGATTTAAAAAATTAACACTATCAAACAGCAATGAAATGTCCATTCGACTAAAATTGGGTTTAACTGTCAGATATGAAAGCATATTTGTCAATACGGGATTCTTATGTAAAGGGTATTTTTAATAATGTTCCACAGGGATTGGTCATAAGCCAGGTGTTACTAAATATTTTTGTCAATGATCTGAAAATAAGGTATAAAATCACTTCTGAAAAATGTGTGGATATCACAAAGATTGGAAGAGTGGTAAATAATGAGAATGACAGGGCAATCATACAGAGCAATCTGGCTCTCTTGGTAAACTGGGACCATTCAGACAAAATAAATATTAACAGAGCCAGATGGAGAGTTATGCTTCTGGAACAAGGAATGTACAGAATATCGACAGAATGGGAACTGTATTCTGGAAAGTAGTGACTCAAAGGATTTAAGAGTCATAGAGGATATAACTGCATATGAGCTCCCAGTGCAGTGCTGTGACAATCTGGACTAATATGATACTTGGCTGCATTAAAAGGGAAATGGAAAGTTATAATAGGATGATCATATTTTATCTCTATCTGCCCCTCTGTGAGATAAATACTGGAATATTGCATATAAATGTGCTGCCCACATTTAAAACAGGATGATGAAGAACTAGAAAGGTTGTGAAAAAGAGACCTAATATTACTTGAGGGCTAGAGAAAATACCTTACAGTGAGATACATAAAGAGCTCAATCTGTTTAGTTTATTAAAGAAGAGATTACATAATTACAGTGTATAAATACCTTGTAGGGAATACCAGGTACTAAAGGGCTCTTTAATCTAAGAAAAGAAGCATAATAAGAACCAGTGGCTGAAACCAGACAAATTCAAACAAGTCACAGTTTTTGAACAGTGAGGATGATTAAACCACGGAAACCAACTACCAAGAGAAAAGATAAAGGCTCTAACTCTTGATGTCTTCAGTTTAAGATTAGATGCGGCTCTGTACATGCTTTAGTCAAAAACAAATTGTTAGGCTTACTACACTGGCAACTGATGATATTTAATGGCTTGTGATATGCAGGAGGTCAGGCTCACTGATAGCAATTTCAGGCCCTAGTACAGAAAAATCAATTGGCCTCCTCCCACAGCTGGAGACACAGCTGTCCCCCTCCAACAGAAGACCTTCTGTTCCCACCTGCCTGGAGGAGCCCCCACCTTTCCCCTCAAAAATAATATCTCCCTTAAAGTACTGAAAGACAGATAATAAGATTTTAAATACTTTTCATTGAAGATAAATTCCTGCTCCAATGAAATTCATAACAAAACTCCCATTTACTTTAAGATTGATATCCTGACTCCAAATTCTAATCCAATGCCAATTCAAGTCAATGGGAGTCTTTCTATGATTTTTTAAAATGTCAATATAATTCAAAGTATTTGTTTTAAAATTTGCTATTTTCTGTTCAATTAAAAATACAAGTGATATAGTGATTAAGAAATAAAGAAAAATATTTTTTCCTCTTATACTAATATCAGTAGTATCCATTTTTTATATTAGACAGAGAAAGAATACCAGTTAATACAGAAAAAAAGTTTTATAATGTAAAACATACTTAAACTTTTGGATGCAGAATGTTTTTCTTTTCTAAAAGTAATTTGCAGTAGGAAAAAGTTAATGGAAGTGTGCACACTTACAGATGAAAATATACTAGGTAGTGTTCCTATTTAACATGCAATGCTTATCTTTCCCTTGTATATATTACAAAAGTCTTGCTGTTAGTTACCAGCTACCATATGTCTGTCCATGATATGATCTTAATATACTATCATCATCCCAGTATGTGTCCACCATCTGACATGCTTTTCCACATCAACAGACACTTTAATATTTAGATCATCCATGCTGCTAGAGTACCAGCAACCAGATTTGTACACGATGGGGCTTTGCTTGAGTTTTCTGCTAAGACGATGTACTCACACAGATTTTTTGCTCTGGAAAAAAGTGCTGACAAAAATGCAGACTGTTACAAGAATACTGTATTTAACTATATGCTTTGTTTTTGACATGTATATTTACAGAAAGTTAGAAATTGCTTAGATAACATTCTGCAGATTCAAAGGACCAGTAGTCGAGCATAGTCATACACTAGAAAAAAACATTGTTAGCAGCAGAATTAGTATCTGATATAACAAGTTGTGGAAACATCACAGAAATGTCTGTAAAGCAATATCAGATAGGACATTACTTTTTCAATACATTGGTGCACTCAGTTTTGGGGGTGTAGAGTTTGTTTCTGGTATCTGTTTCAAGATACCAGAAAGTATTTGGTTCAAAATGTGCTTGATTAAATTGAATTTCTTGTATTTGTTTTCTGAGATTTACAGCTTTTTTATTTTATTTTATTTGTTCTATCTATCTATCTATCTATCTATCTATCTATCTATCTATCTATCTATCTATCTATCTATCTATCTATCCGGACTTCTGTACTTCTATAAATAAATCTATAATGAGACCAGGTTGAGTAAAATGATTCTCAAATTTCCAAATAACAAAAGAAAAGAGAGAATCCTCATCTCAATAAGTCTGGATAAATAGAGGTTTTGCAATGTTTTGTAAAGATACAAGTTTCCCTCATCTGCCATCAGCCTCAAAAAAAAAAAAATCATCCTGACAATCCCAACTCAAAAGTTTCATCTGATTTTAGTTGTCATATTATAGCAGAAAGAGAGGATCAAATCATAAAAAGCTTTGCTTGTTAAAACCAATAACTTTAATTGTCCCTGGAAACTAATCAGAGATTAGTACAGTGATAGAAATGTAGCCGTGTTAGTCTGGGGTAGTTGAAGCAAAATGCAGGACAATGTAGCACTTTAAAGACTAACAAGATGGTTTATTAGATGATGAGCTTTCGTGGGCCAGACCCACTTCCTCAGATCAAATAGTGGAAGAAAGTAGTCACAACCATATATACCAAAGGATACAATTTAAAAAAATGAACAAATATGAAAAGGACAAATCACATTGCAGAACAGAAGGGGGATGCGGGGGGGTGGGAAGGGGGAGGAAGGAAGGTAAGTGTCTGTGAATTGCTGATATTAAAGGTAGGGAGAGTGGGATGTTTGTGAGTTAATGGTATTAGAGGTGATAATTGGGGAAGCTGTCTTGGTAATGGGTGAGAAAGTTCAAAGACTTGTTAAGTCCTTGATTAGTACAGTTTATGAAATTAGTACATTATTAGTCCTTGATTAGTACAGTTTATGAGATTAGTACAGTTTATGAAACATCCATGCAGAATGCTCCCTGCAAGAAGTATTGCTCTCTGTACAGGCAGTTGCTTTCTTGTCATCGGCAATTGTATCCTAGCTCAGGGACTACACAATACACCATAGTCAAACACCACTAATTTAGTCAATTTAATGTAGACTGTCTATTCAAGGGTTCTTAAACTTCACGGTAAACCGTGGTAAACCTCTGTTTTCAATCGCGGTAAACCTCATTTTACGAGGAATAATGCTTTTTTTCCAAAGTACTCTTTCAAAAAAAGTGCTATTGAACGCAAACTGTGCTTTTTCGAAAGAGAACATCCAGACTGCTTGGGTGCTCTCTTTGAAAAAGTGGCTCGCTTTTTCTAAAGTACTGGCTGTAGTCTGGACACTCTCTTTTGAAATAGTCTTTTAGTCTAGATATACCCAATGTGATTCACTGTAAAATGGATTTGTCATATTCTTTATGAAATGTTTGGTAAGAGCTGAAACATGCTTTTTGTCCCCTGCCTCTGCACTGAGTATTTCCTGTACAATGATGATAAAGGGTTCCAATCTTTCTTTTATAGCTTGTGAATTTTTCACTCAGACTTCTTGTGAAGGTCTATCTGAAGAGAGCTGGATTCTTCCTGTCAGTCCAGTAATCCCATTGCTTCTTTTTGAGTCTTAACTATAGAAGCAGGTGAGCATAATGCTATCAGATCAGACTAAATCTCTTTTCTTTCCTAGGTTCAATAAAATTCTGACGTGACAAATTGAACTTTCTTGTATATTTTAAAAAGCAACCCCTCTGACAAAGAATTAGAAAATGCATCCAGTAGTCACTTATCCAACTAAGCTCTCCTGGCTTCCATTGTCAGTATCAAGAATTCTGTACAGAACCAAAATGCAGGACAATGTAGCACTTTAAAGACTAACAAGATGGTTTATTAGATGATGAGCTTTCGTGGGCCAGACCCACTTCCTCAGATCAAATAGTGGAAGAAAATAGTCACAACCATATATACCAAAGGATACAATTAAAAAAATAAACACATAGGAAAAGGAGAAATCACATTTCAGAACAGGAGGGGGATGCAGGGGGGGGGAAGGAAGGAAGGTAAGTGGCTGTGAATTGATATATTAGAGGTGGGGAGAGTGGGATGTCTGTGAGCTAATGGTATTAGAGGTGATAATTGGGGAAGCTATCTTGGTAATGGGTAATGGGTAAGATAGTTTGAGCATTTGTTCTTACCCATTACCAAGACTGGGTATT